GGACTATATTCAATAGAAACGGTGATAATGACCATCTTTGTCTGGTTCTGGATCTTAGGGAGAATGTTGCCAGCTTTTCCCTGTTTAATAAGATGTTTGCTGTGTGTCTGTCATATATTGCCTTGATTGTGTTGAGGAATGTTCCTTCTATACCCATTTTGCTTAAGGTTTTTATAATGAAAGGTTGTTATATTTTATCAAATGCTTTCTCTGCATCTATTGAGATAATCATATGATTTTGGTTCTTCAGTTTATTAATATGGTGTATCACATTGACTGATTTGTAAATGTTGACCCACCCTTGCATACCAGGGATAAACCCCACTTGGTCAGGGTGAATGATCTTTCTGATGTGTTGCTGGATTCGATTTGCTAATATTTTTTTTGAGGATTTTTACATCTATGTTCATCAGGGATATTGGTCTATAGTTCTATTTCTCTGTTGCATCTTTTCCAGGATTAGGTATTAAGATGGTGCAGGCTTCATAGAAGGAGTTTGAGAAGATTCCTTCCTTTTCAATTGTTTTGAATAGCTTGAGAAGCATTGAAATCAGTTTTTCTTTAGAGGTCTGGTAGAATTTAGAAGTAAAGCTGTCCAGTCCTGGGCTTTTCTTTGTTAGGAGAGTCTTTATTACTAATTCAATCTTCATCTTGGTTATTGGTTTGTTTAGGTTTTCTATATCTTCATGACTTAATTTTGGTAGACTGTATATTTCTAGGAATCTATCCATTCTTCTAGGTTTCCTAATTTGTTGCCATACAGCTTTCTGTAATACTTTCTGATGATTCTTTTTATTTCTGTGGTATCTGTTATTACATTTCCTTTTTCATCTCTGATTTTACTGATTTCGGTCTTTTCCCTTTTTTTGCTTATTTTTTTCTTAAAAAAACAGCTTTTCATTTCACTGATTTTTTGTTTCAATTTTGTTTATTTCTTCTCTAATTTTAATTACTTCTTTCCTCTTACTAGTTTTGGCTTTGGTTTGTCATTGAAATGCACTGATGCTCATTTATTTGCAACCTTTCCAGTTTCTTCATGGAAGGCACTAATTACTATAAACGTCCTTCTTAATACTGCTTTGGCTGTATGTATCCCATAGGTTTTTATGTGATGTACTGTCATTTTCATTTGTTTCCAGAAATGTTTTGATTTCTCTTTTGATTTCTTCTGTGAACCACTGTTCTTTACGGAGCATGTTGCTCAGTCTCCATGTGCTTGCATATGTTCTAAAGATTTTTGGGTTGTTGATTTCCAGCTTCATTCCATTGTGATCTGAGAATATGCAAAAATGATTTCAGTTTTTTTGAATTTGCTGAGACTTGTTTTGTGGCCTATCATATGGTCTATCCTAGGGAATGTTCCATGCATTGATGAGAAGGATGTGTATTCTGCCAATGTGGGGTGAAAGGTTCCATAGATAACCATCAGGTCCATTCGGTCTATAGTGTTGATTAACTGCTGTTTCCTTGCTAATTTTCTGCCTGGTTCATCTGTCCATTGCTAAAAGTGGGGTATTTAAGTCTCCCATTACTACTGTGTTGGAGTCTATGTCTCCCTTTAGGTCCATTAACATTTCTTTTAAATAGCCAGGTACCCTGTAGTTGGGCGCACATATATTTATTATAGCGATATCTTCCTGTTGGATTGATCCCTGAATCATTACACAGTGCCCTTCTTCACCTTTTTTTAACAAAAATAATAATAATAATAACACAAAAAGAAGACAAATTGTTTAGAAGGTAATATAACATGTCTGTGAATCTGGGGTAAGCAAACATTGCTTAAACAGGATCCAAAGAGCACTAAATATAAGACAGTAATAATCTGAGTACATTAAAATTAAGAATCATATCATTTTAAGTAGCATTAAAAATCAAAGACATAGGAATAAGTTAACAAAAGGCATATATGAACAGATGCCATTAAGACAAAGAAAATGTAAGCTGTAGTTTGAGAGAATATGTCTGTAATATAAACAAGTGACAAATGATATATCCAGAATAAATAAAGAATGTTCATGACCCCAGGGTACTATAAAACCAAATAAGTAAAGGAATTCAAATATTGGTACAAAGCAAAGGAAGGAAAATCACTGACAGATTAGAACTGGAAGTCAGCTTTTACTGAAATTACAGCTCTTGCCATGTTCTGGCATTAAAAACCTCAAAATGAGAATTTAAATGACAGTGATCCTGGACTAGAAGTATCCCCAGAAGGCTGGCTGAAGCAAATTAAGTTCCTCCATGGAGAAATTCATCCCAGGTCTCAAAGAAATCCAATAGAAATAATTTATCCTTGTGCCTAGTTTATAAAATGATTTCTAACTTTAGCTTTATATAGTATCCTTATCACATCACAAAACACACTCCACTCTCTCATTCTGTCATCCATTGCATAGGCAATTTCCTCCACCTTCTAGTCCTATCACTTGGCCCTGGTGAACTCCCATTTTTCCCCTGCCTTAGCTTGGGCGATGAAGTTTCTCTGACTCCCTTAGCAGAGTAAATCAATATCTTCTATGTGCTCCTGTCCCATTTTTGCCCATATTTTGCATTTGCAACCCAAATTTTCCCAGGCCCCACCAGTCCATGATTGTGAATAACAACACATCAACATTAATAGCTCAAATGTCACAGACTCATCACTCCTTGACCTACTGGTCCCACACACAGTTATTTCTGGAGATTTATGGGTGTGCCCTATATGTGTATGTGAACACCTCTGCATTCTGCTAAAGGAGTTATATCACCAGCTTTTTGTAAGAGGACTGCTCCTTGCCCAGACTCCTAACCTCGGAGCTCCAAAGTGAAAAAGCATAGAGATACCCAGCAGCACAGCAGGTATGATTTTTTTGTTTGTTTTGTTTTAACAGAAGTAAGTGGCAGAGGTGGAGCAAGAGGGCAACTATGATCCTTCACTGATTGTCTCCCCACAGAGCCACCAATTAGAATAGCTATCCACATGCCAGTCTACCTTTACAAGAGCTGGGGAGGCCAGATGAGAGGCCATAGTGCATGGTTTTAGTATAGTAACAAGCAAAGAGAGCAGGAAGGAAAGAGTTGCCTGTGTCACCCATACTCCAGCACCAAGCTGCATGGGGCCTTCCTCTTAGTGGGGGGAGAGGGAATTAAGTCCAGCCATTAGTACCAGGCCTGCCATGGTGAAACTCAGTACCAGGCAGAGCCCCACTGTCCAAGCCAGCACCTGTGAACTGAACCTCTGGAACTGTGTTAACCAAGTGGTAAGGGATTGTCTCTACCACCCTCTCCCTCAACCTTGGGCAGCACAGCTTGGAGGAAGACTCCACTCACTGAGGAGTGCACCAAGAAAGTGAACACAGGATTAGATCCTGTAGAGTAAGGAGATAAAAAATATCCTCAAAAAAATCCTCATAAAGAAAGGAACTGAGTACCTACTGTTCTGTATTTTGAGATAAACCTTGAACTAAGAAGGATATGGCTCAATGGGAAAAAGTTCATCAAGAGGACCCTTGCAGTTCCCATTCACGCATGGACACATGAGGTTTTCATTGCTGAAGATCCTGGAGCCCTCAGAGAGATCTCGAACCTGTCTGGGGAGCTGCTGGATTACCATACCTCTGCATTGCCCTGGAGAAAAGAATTGAGTCCTTGTTGCAACCTACTCCCCCAGATTCTTGTTGTGTGGAGCCATCTTGAGACTCCAACCACTGGGGTATTATGAAGAAGCCTCTCCCAACAGTTCTGCAGGTCTGGATCTATGAGTCAGCTGGGCCCTGCCTCACCTCCCATGGCTCCAGGAAGAACTTGGATGGCACACAATGAGTGAATCAGCCTGCAGAGGCCCCCAGAAAACAGCTGGACAACCCTTCTAATACTCCTGCTGCCCCAGAAATGGCTGGGTGATCCCATTTATACACCCATAGGAACCAAATATATAACCAGCCCAGAGCAGCTCAGTCAACAGAGGCCTAGGGAGTGAACGAATGGCCCTGCCCACCTACTTATGACCCTGGGAAGCATCCAAGCAGCCTTTCCTCCGTGGCTCAGCCCCTCGAGGCACCCCAGGAAGCAACAGGGTGGCCCTGCCCATCCTCCTGTGGCCCCAAGAAGCAGTTGAGCAGCCTGTTCTCCAAAGCTGAGTACACCGAGGCACTGAGAACAGATGCTCAGTCTTTCCCACTCACCTTCTGCCCTGGGAGGCAGTTGGAATGGTCTCCCTAAGCAGGTCAGCCCCCTGGGGACCTGTGAAGCTACCTGAGCACCACTCACACACTGACAGGTGCCCTGTTCCACTACCAGACATGTTACACTACACTCACTGGGCCCACAGGTTGTCCTGCATTCACACAACTCACAAAAACTTAAGAAGGCCCACACCTGCAGGTAGGTGCACCACACACAGAGTTGCCAGTAACCTGCTATGCCAAAGTGAGGCACATCTAACTTGTGAAGCAACCACACAGCCCCTGCAGCCTAGGCCACTGAGAGACCTGCAGACATTGAAAATGTTGATTACAGCTGAAGAAGCTAAACAGACACTACACTAAAGCATCCACCTGGAACCAGAGGCAACACAGCATATCCAATCAACACCAAGACACTGCCAGCAAAATGTCTTTTGGCTATGAAAGCCACCCCATTACATTGATGGAAGCAACTGACCCAACAGATGCTCGACAACCAGTGGAGAGGCACAAGAAGCACAAGGTCTTTTGAAATGAGTTGAAGGAGAAGGAGGAGGAGAAGGAGAAGAAGGAAGAGGAGAAGGAGGAAGAAGGGGAGAAGGAAGTGGTAGAGGAGGAGAAGGAGGAGGAAAAAGAGGGGAGGAGGTGAAGGAGGAGGAGGAAGAGGGGGAAAAGAAGGAAGAGGCAAAGAAGAGAAAGGAGGAAGCGGAGGAGGAGAAGAAAGAAAGAAAGAGGAAGTCATTGAGAATTCTTGGTACAACTAAGTGAGCAAGCATTCAGATATATGGGTATGCTAGAAAGAGAAAATAAAGCAAAAGGCATAGAAAAACTTACTTAGTCTTGGAAAAGATACCAACATTCAGCTTCAGGACGTCCAAAGGACCACTGATCACTTCAACCACAGAAGATCCTCTCTGAGGCACATTATAGGCCAACTGTCAAATAAACAAGAAAAAGAATTCTAAAAACAGCAAGAGGAAAGTGTCAAGTCACTTACACGGAAATACCCATTAGATTAACATCCAGACTTCTCAGCAGAAAACTTATAGGACAGGAGAGAACAACATGAAATACTGGAAAAAAAAAAAAAAAAAAAAAAGTGCCAGCCAAGAACACTATACCCAGCAAAGCTACTCCTCAGAAACAAAGGAGAAATAAGCACTTTCTCCATGACAAGAAAATAACTGAAGGAATTTGTTGCCATCAGATCAGTCCTATAAGAAATGTTTAAGACAAGAAATTGTAAACCACAACATGAAAACATGCAAAAGTACAAGTCTCAGCAGTAGACCAGATGCACAAGAGGGAAGAAAAAAAAATCTAATTACTCATTTTAGTTTTACCTTTTTCTATATTTATTTGCTACATATTTTGTTAAGGTTTTGTCACTTAAATGAATTATTACTATAGTTCTATAAGTTAATTTTCTTGTACTCATTAAACTCATTAAATTTTTATATCAGGACTATGATGGTCTCTTTTTCTTCTTTTTTTTTCTTCATGTTTTTTAAAGATTTATTTATTTATTTGAGAGGCAGACTTACAGACACAGAAAGAGAAGTCTTTTATCCATTGGTTCACTTCCCAAATGGCCACAATGGCTGGAGCTGGGTCAATCCAAAGCCAGGGGCCAAGAGCTTCTTCTGGGTCTCCCACGTGGGTGCAGGAGCCCAGGGATTTAGCCATCTTCCACTGCTTTGCCAGGCCATAAGCAGAGAGCTAGATCAGAAGAGGAGCAGGCAGGACACGAACCATTGCCCATATGGAATTTTGGCACCACAGACAGGTGGAGGCTTAACTTGCCACATCACAGTGCCAGCCCTTATCTCTTAAAATAAGGTGAAAAGCATTTGTTCCTTCTCTGTTTTCTAGAAAAATATATTACTGTGCAATTATTTCTTCCTTAAATATTTAATAGATTCACCATTGAAACTATCTAGATGTGTAGTTATCTCTGGAGGAACATTCTAAAAATGAATTCAATTTCTAAAATTCACATGAGGATATTCAATTTTTTTCTTCCCATGTCACTTTTCTGAAATTGTGATTTTGAAAACTCAGGTGCATTTCATATAAGTTGCTGAAGTTACTGGTATGAAATTGTTTAGCATTCTTTATTTTAAAAAATAAATAGAGATAAACCATGATACAGCAATCCTACAATCCTCTCAGTCTGTTGAGGAGATATCTGCACTCCCAAGTTTATTGCAGCTCTATTCACAACAGCCAAAATATGAAATAAACAGATGAACTGATAAATAAAATGTGATATTATATACTTAATGTGTGAGATCTCTATTGTAGGATACTATTCAGGCCTTAAAAAGTTGAAATCCGGTCATTTTAAATAGAATGGATGAACCCAACAGGCATGTTAGGCGTAGTAAGACAAATACCACATATTTTCACCATATGTGGAATCTCAAATAAAGCTGATGTTAAAGAAATTGGGAATAGAACAATAAGCGGAAGGAGGAGGAAATAGGGAGAATGAGAAGAAAGATTAGTCAGTGGGTATAATGTCACAGGTAGATCAGAGGGCCTGGAACTCCTTAGAGGTTACTCTAACGTTCTAGTGTACAATGGATTGACTACAATTAATGATGATGCACTGTATATTTCAAAATAGAAGAGCATTCTCAATACTCCTACTACAAAGAGACAAACGTTTGAGGTGAAGCATATGCTAATCATTCTAATTTGATCATTACATAATGCATACATATGCTGAAACATCACATTGTACCTGGTAATTTACATATGTAGGAGTCAAACTTTTTTTAAAGATTTATTTATTTATCTATTTATTTCAAGATCACAGTTACAGAGAGAGGATTCAGAGAGAGAGAGAGAGAATTGATCTTCCATCCACTGATTCACTCCCCAAGTGGCTGCACAGGCCGGAACTGGGCCAGGCTGAAGCCAGGAGCCTCTTCTGGGTCTCTCATGTGAGTGCAGGGGCCCAAGCACTTGGGTCATCTTCTGCTTTTCTCAGCCCATTAGCAGGGAACTAGATCAGAAGTGGAGCAGCCAGGAATCAAATCAGTGCCCATATGAGATGCCGATGTTGCAGGCACAGCTTTACCCATTACTGCACAATGCAGGCCCTGAGTCAAACATTTTATAAGAAGAAAGAAAAATATTTGAGAGAAGCTGAAATAAAGGGCAAATTATAGAGAGATTATAGAGATAGAATGGTAAAGAACAATTGCCTCCGCAGAGCCTGATGAGGAGGTGGGTACTGTGTTTTGTGTTTCCTGTGTAAGTTATTATGTATTACTTATGTTTTTAAAATTTATTGGGGCTGGCACTGTGACGTAGTAGGTTAAGCATCCACCTGCCATGCCTACATCCCATATGGTCTATGGTTCAAGTCTCAGCTGCTCCACTTCTAATCCAGCTCCCTGCTAATGGCCTCGAAAAGCAGTGGAAGATGTCCCAAATGCTTGGGTCTCCACCCACATGGGAGACCTGGAAGAAGCTCCTGGCTCCTAGCTTCAGATTGGCCCAGCTCCGGCCATTGCAGCCATTTGGGGAATGAACCAGTGGAATGAACCTCCCTCTCTGTCTCTCCCTCTGTCTGTCTGTCACTCTGCCTCTCAAACACATAAATCTTTTTAAAATGTTATTTATTTATTTATTTATTTGAAAGGCAGAGTGGCACACACACAGAGAGAGAGAGAGAGAGAGAGAAAGAAATTTTCCATCCACTGGCTCACTCTCCAGTGAGGTCTGGGCCAGGAACCTGGAACTCCTTAGAGGTCACTCCTGCAGGTGGCAGGAACCCAAGTACTTGGGCCAACTTCCATGCCTTCTGAGGTGCATCAGCAGGAAGCTGGGTCAGAAGCAGAGCAGCTGGGACTTGAACTGGCGCTCATATGGGATGCCAGCATCATTGCTGTGCCAACAACACCAGCCCCTATTTGTATTTTTAAATATGCAGTTATATCTTTGCTAGTCTAAAATAGTCTAAGAAGTTTTTTTAAATGGCACAGTGTGCTTTTCAGTTGTCCCTGTACTGCAGTCAGATTGTGTTCTCTGGGGCTGGCAGAGGTTAGGCTGCTGACTGCAACACTGGGATCCCATATCTACTTCTGATCAAGCTCCCTGCTAATGTGCCTTGGAAGGCAATGGAAGATGGCCCAAGTTCTTGGGCCCCTGCACCCATGTAGAAGACATGGATGGAGCTCCAGGCTCCTAAGTTCTGCTTGGTCCAGCCTGGTGGTTGCAGCCATTTGGGGAGTGAACCAGTGGATGGAGGATTTCTCTCTCTCTCTCTCTCTCTCTCTCTCTCTCGCTGCCTCTGCTCTGCCTCTGCCTCTCCTCTGTGGCTCTGATTTTCAAATAAAAAAAATAAATCTTAAGGGAAAAAAGTGAAATTATGATTATATAAGACACTTAGAAACATTAATTCTTGGCCAAAAGGACTGCAGGCTCAGGGTGAACAAACAATTGTTGGGCAAATGCCCTTGCAGAAGTATTGTTGATGCAAGGTTGTGGTTCTGACAGAGTCATTTATGAAAGATTCTTATTATCAGGCATACATGAGTGAGATCCTCATCATCACAGCCTCCCAGCCTCTTTTGTTTACTTATTTGGATTTTGGTTAGGGATTAACGAAAGTTATTCCATTTTGATTCTGACAACTTTCACAGTCCTCGGTGGGGGTGGGAGTGGGGGTCTGAGGGGAGTATGTGGGCTGCAGGGGTAGAGTGGGAAGGGCAGTGGCTTCAGATGAGGGGGAACAGGGTCCAACACTCATACAGAGGGCCAACCTACTCAGCAGCTAGATAGGAAAGACTCACAATTTGGGCTCCACCTACATCTTAGTCCATTTAGAGTATTACAAGAAAACACCATAGACTAGGTGGCTTACAAATAACAAATTCATCTCTCAAAGTTGTAGAGTCTAGGGTCAGGTGCCAGTAGATGTGCTGTCTGGTGAAGGCCTGCTTTCTGTTCCATGGCTCTCTTTTTGCTGTGTCCTCACACAGCAGAAAGGGGCAAGGCAGCTCTCTGTTGTCTCATCTACAGGATCATTAATCCTATTCACAAGGGCCTCACCTCTTGATAGCATCACATTGCTGATTAGGTTTCAACATATGATTCTATAGATGCCGCAGACATTCAGAACACAGCAACCTCTTAAGTTGTATGCCCTTCAGCAAGTTATTTATGTTCCCTATGCTTTACAAGCAAGGAAATGAAGATCTGAGCAGAAATCATGGCAATATAGACTAGGAAGATAATGAAACAAATCAACCAAACTAAGAACAAGTTTTTTTTCTTCAAAAGATAAAACAAGTTGACAAATCTTTAGCTATATTAACTAAGAAAAAAGAGAGAGCTCAAATGAAATTATGAATGAAAAAGTAAATGTCACAATTGATACCACAGAAATATAAAGGATCCTAAGAGACAACTATGAACTACTATATGCCAACAAACTGAATAACGTAGTAGAAATGAAAACATTCTCAGAAACATGCAACCTACCAAGAAAGAACCATGAAGAAACAGAAAACCTGAACAAACCAATACCAAGAGCAGATACTGAGGCAGTAATTAAAAACTTCCTGGAAATGCCCAGGAACCCATGGATTTGCAGGTAAACTCTTCCAAACACTTAAAGAACACCTACTATCACTCCTTCTCAAACTATTTAAAAAATAAAAAAAAAAAAAAACAATTAGTCTAAGGGAAACCAGTGGCCATGTTGTGAGCAGTCCTATTGGGAGGCCCACATGGCAAGGAACCAATTTCTCTGGCAATGGCCAACAAAGACATAGTGGCTGCCAACAGCCAAATGAGCAAGCGTGGGAGTGGATCCTGCCCAGAAAGAGCCTTGAGAATCCCACAGCCCTAGTTATCACCTTGACTGGGGTCTTCTGAAAGATCTAGAGCCAGAGCACTCAATAAAGCTTCACACAAATTC